ACTTTGCATCACACAGGAACAGGAGATGTTAGTGGAACAAAAACAGGCCATTATATTAGTAGTCTTTAAAAGCTGTATTAAAAATAGTTCATTAAGGGGCGCCTGGGTGGCTCAGTCGGTTGAGCATCCCACTCTTGATTTTGGCTCAGGTCATGATCCCGGGGTCCTGGCTGGGGAGTCTGCTTCTCCCACTCCTTCTGCCCCCCACCCCCCACCGCTCATGTGCTCTCTCTCTCTCTCTCAAATAAATAAATAAAATCTTAAAAAAAAAAAAAAAACTTAAAAAAAGTAGTCCATTAAAATAAAAAAGAACACTGTGTGCTAAAAAGAACATTGATCAAGTAATTGTCAGTTCAGTGAAGTTTGCTCTGGAAAACTTTCTGTCCAAACATTAACCAATATTTGTGTAATCTGGATTAAATGTGTCAAATCTTCCTTGGGGGTAAAAATGTCCCCTGAATCAAATGGTATGTCCAAACGACAGGTCCAAACATTCCTTCCCCTGATGCCGTGGCTGCTTCCTCCATCCCGTGAGACGCGTGGGGGGGACAGGAGAATGAGCTGCTTTGTTAGGCGGCTGAGGACACGACAGAGCAGGCAGGACGTCCGCCACCACTGAAGGCTTGCGCGCTGGGTGCAAGAGTGGGGGGGGGGCTGGGATGGCCAGAGGGAGGGATCATCAGCCTGCTCCGGGGCACAGGGCTCACGGGCAGCGGAGCCAGCTCCATCCCCAGGCACCGACTCCGGCCCCTTGACCACCTGAGAAGCACTGCTGCACAGCGGACCAGCCACTTGTGAGTTGGGAAAACCACAGGAGGACCTGAGCCAAGCCCTCAGCTCTTCCCGAGCTCGCACAACCTGAGAACTCTGGTCCCACCCCTTGTGGGCCAAGAACGGGGAATGGTTTCAGCACAGGGACCGCACCTACCTTCCAGTCTCCCTGATCAAGATGGCGGCGAGGAGGCAGGAGATGAAAGAGGAGGGGGGACAAAGGAAGAGGCAGGGGACTGGAGGACGGGAAGATGGGAGGCTGAGCCCTGACCCAGGGAAGAGAAGGCTTCAGGCTTACTCCATTTCATCTTCAGGCTTAGGAAAGGCTCTCATACCAGGCTGCTGTTTCTCATGTCAACTTTGGGTGTCTATCTGAACTTTGTGAACTGTACATGTATATTGCTTTGATTAAAAATGTACATTAAAGGGCGCCTGAGTGGCTCAGTTGGTTAAGTGACTGCCTTCCGCTCAGGTCATGATCCCAGGGTCGTGGGGTTGAGTCCGGCGTTTGGCTCCCCCTGCTCGGCCGGGAGTCTGCTTCTCCTTCTGCCACTCCCCGGCTGGTGCTCTCTCTCTGTCAAATAAATAAATAAAATCTTTTTTAAAAAATTACATTAAAGCAGGAAGGACTTCAATGAGACACAAAGAAACCGAAGGATGACAAAGCATTACCCTGGCAGCTAGAGAGCCAAAGATCCCAGGGGCAGACGGTACCTTCCAGCTGGGCCACAGGGGGGGACATGAGCCCGTGTCTCGCCTTGTCCTGACAGTGTTCCCATGGATCCACCACTGTCTTCCAGTGGTTCTTAGCCTTTGTAGGGTCCCGGACCCTTTTGGGATTTTTTGGTTTTGTTTTGTTTTGTTTTGTTTGTTTGTTTGTTTTTAAACATTTATCAAGACATAATTTACATAACATAGAGTTCACCCATTTAAAGTATACAATGTAATAGTTTTTAGTATATTTAGAGCCCTTCCCCTCTCACCCACTGACCCACAATGGACTGTGACAATGAGAGAGAAATAAACCTTTATTATGGTAAGGCACTGAGATTTGGGGTTATTTGGTACAGCATTTAGCCTGCCCTGACTAATTTGGCTCCACCTTTGGAGAAACTGCCTTTACCTCCTGGATCTCAGTTTCCTCATCTGAAAATGAGGGGTTCAAAATAGGGGCTCTCTTGGTTGCGTTTCAGCTATAACACTCCATTTATAAATTGTGTGGTTATTATTTCCAAGTGGTTTAAAACTCTGCAAGGACTAATTGTAGAATTTCTCAACTATAATAAGGAGTAAATTCTCCATTTACAGATGTGTTGTGCTCCCAAAGACCAGGCCCCGGACCCTTTTGAAATTAGAAACCATTATGCACCCCAGGAAAAACAATACAGATATATGCATACACACAAAACTCTCCATATAATTTCCTGGGTATAGAGACCCCAAGTTAGAAACCACTGTTCCACATGCTGATGGCCAACCAGACTGTTTTTCCAATCCAGAACCTTTTTTTCTGAGCTTCAAACGTTCAACTGCATTCCTCAAACCTTCCTGGAAATCTCCCAAGTGCCAGGTAGCCAAAACCGAACTTAAAATCTTCCCCCTAAATCTCACCTCCCATATTCCCTCTCTAGGGACTGGAAACTTCATTCACCAGTTGCCTAGGTCTCCGAGACCTGCCATCATCCTGGACCAGTGGTCCTCAATGGTGGCTGGGAAATTGGATATCCATGTGGGGGGTAAAAAACGAACCTTGATCCTTACCTCCCATCGTATATGAAAATAAAAATTAATTCCAATGTATCAAAGACCTAAACAAAAAGCTAAAACTATACAATTCTAGGAGAATATATTTGTGACCTCACCTTAAGGTAGGCAAAGACTTCTTTGGGCACAAAACATAAACCACCAAGAAAAATTTTTGATAAATTGGACACAGTCATAATTAGAAACTGGCTTTTTACCTTTAAGAAAATGCAGAAATAAACTACAATGGACTTTCAAACATTGCTGGTGGTAATATTAAAATAGTATAACCGGGGCTCCTGGATGGCTCAGTTAGTTAAGCGCCGAATCTTGATTTCAGCTCAAGTCATGATCTCAGGGTCATGAGATGGAGCCGGCTCTGGGTTGAGGTCCCTGCTGGGCATGAAGCCTGCTTGGGATTCTCTCTCTCTGTCTCCTTCTCCCCCTCTACCCTCCCCCACCGCCCTGCCAGCCTCACACGTGCTCTTTCTCTAAAAATTACTTAATTAGTTAATTTAACTAATTAATTAAAATGAAATAGTATAACCACTTTGAAAAACAGTTTGACAGTGTAGAGAGCAAGATGGGGTCACTCATGTCAAGCAGAAGCCGGGGTCAAGCAATGATGCAAGCAGTTAAGGGTGTTGCAGCTAGGATATATTGCTGAGACCGGCGTCAGCTGACACCCCAGAACTGATAATGAGCAGAACCAGAGGACATGTGCAGGAGCCCAACACATTAATTCCCTTTAAAAGGGGGAGGATTTTTGCAGCAAACTGTCAGACTCTTCAGACCTGATCCCTTTATGTCTGCCCACTTAAAAAAGGCAGCTCCTGGGCGCCTGGGTGGCTTAGTTGGTTAAGCGACTGCCTTCGGCTCAGGTCATGATCCTGGAGTCCCGGGATCGAGTCCCGTATCGGGCTCCCTGCTGAGCAGGGGGTCTGCTTCTCTGTCTCTCGTTCTCTCTCTCTTAAATAAATAAATAAAATCTTAAAAAAAAAAAAAAAAAGGCAGCTCCTGCCCACGCCTCTGCCCGATTGCTCTCCGGAGGGAACTGAGATCCTTCCTGCTTGAACATAAGAAGCAGTGAGTGCCCAGAGCTGACCTGCACCAGCCCGAGGCCTTATCTCAACTGCACACCCACAGACGGACTCCGCATTTGGTTTGTTTACTTCCTACACCCTTCTGTTATCTTGTTCGTTGCGTGGCTTGTCCTGTGTTCTGCTCTGTGTGCTGTGTAAGAAGCCAAGTTAATCACATGGTGAAATGTCATTGAGTTTGGAATCCTGAACCTGCTTTATAATTACGTTAACCTTGCTTTATGATTGAATAAAGCTGACACTGTGGAAAGACACAACTCGTGTGTACGCCTTATAGTGTGCTCACGACACACGGCTTCCTCAAAAGTTAAAAACACCTTACAACCAAGCCATCCCATCCACTTGTAGGTATTTTACCCAAGACAAATGGAAACATAGATCCACACAAAGACTTTTTTTTTTTAAAGATTTATTTATTCCAGAGAGAGAGCACTCACGAGCAGGGGGAGGGACAGAGGAAGAGAAGCAGACTCCCCACTGAGTGCCCAGCCCAACATGGGGCTCGATATTGAACCCTGAAGTCATGACCCTGAGATCATGACCTGAGCCGAAATCAAGAGTTGGACACCCAACTGACTGTGCCGCCGAAGGGCCCCCACACAAAGACTTTTATAGGAATTTTTAAGGCAGTTTTATTCACTAAATCTCAAAACCAGAAACAGCCCAGATGTCCAACAACAACCCAAATGTCCTTTGGGGTCCTCAGAGGATGTCTCCCCAATCCACCCACCCATGTCCCAATGGATAAACAGTTTGTGTCAATGCACACAACCCAGTACTACTCACGCATGAAAGGAGGGAACCTACGGATACACACAACCACGTGGATGCCTCTCGGAAGCAGTGTGCTAAGTGAAAAGAAGCCAGGCACAAACGACCACATCCTGTATGGTCCTATTTATATGAAATGCCAGGGAAAAGAAAGTATAGCGATAGGAATCAGATGAGTGGTTGTCTGAGGCCAGGGAAGAGAGGGTAAAGGATTGACTGCAAAGGGGCAGAAGGGAACTTTCTGGGGTAACGGAAACGTGCTACATCTTGAACTGGGACAGTGGTTAGCCTAGTGTTTTCATCGGCCAGAAATTATAGAACTGTATACGGTATGTAAAATTTCTGGTATTTACTGTATGTAAAGAATATCTCAATAAAGTAGGTTTTTGTTTTGCTTTGTTTTTTAATGAGAGAGCTGCTGGGAAGCATGGAGAACACAGGTGAAGGGAATCTGCTAAAGACCTTCCTGAAAGCATTTGATTTGGAAAAGAAGGAGGCTCTCTTCAATGCCGGTTCAGCCTCCACCGGGCGGTTTAGTGAAACATTCCCCCCGCTAGGGGGCAGTGTCGTAGTCAGTCAGCCACCACCGCGCGTCCACAGGGCCCCCGGCGCCCGCAGGGGCCCAGAGGCCGCAAGACCCCCAGGACGCGCCGAGCTCCGCCCCGTAGCCCGCGGGTTGGGGACTCTCTCCCCCGCGGGGGCCGGGAGAGGTGGTGCCCGCGCCGCGTCCTGAGCGGATGCGGCCTGCGCGGCGCGGCCCCACGCCCTCCGCCCAGCCCCCCTGCGGCCGGCTCGCAGTCCCGCACCCGCACCCGCACCCGCACGCTCTGCTCCGCCACCTCCGAGGGCCTGGCGTCCGAGAGAGGAGCCCGGGCCCCAGGGCGCACGATGACCGCCCCCTCCAGCCCTGGCTGTCGGGCAACGTGGGGCCAGCCCTCTGGCCCCGACTGGCGGAACGCAGGAGGGGATAGAGGCGCCCGCCGCGGGACTGCTTCCAGCTGGCGGCAGCCGGGACCGAGCTGCGTCCCGGGTGAAACTGACCCTGCCTGTCTGGCGCCGCTTCTGCGACAAGGCCCGCGGAAAGACGCCGCGGCGCCTCTCCTCCGACCTTCTTCCTCTCCAAGCAGGTCATCATAGCCTTAGCAAATCCGCCCCCCCCAACTCAGAAATTGTCATTTTGAAGGACAAAGAAGTGTGGCCTAGAGATGTTTTGTTTCACTGTCCCTCGTGCTAAAAAGGGGGCTCCCCTGGCGTGGCGCGCCAAGTAGGGGGCTGCTAGGGGAATGAGCCGGAATGCGGAGAGGGGAGGGCGCAATCACTGCCCGGCGTGCCAAGGCCCGGGAGACACGCGGACCCTCCGTAATCCTCCTCCCCCCGCGGCCACAGCCCACCCCGGGACCTCAGGGGACGCACTTGGGCAGCCCCGCCCGCCGGCGCACTCGTCTCCAGCCCTCTCCGCCCCTCCTGGCGCACTGCGTGGTGCGCCTAGTTCCCCGGACCGGGCAGAGCGGCGGCTGCGCTGAGGACACACCGCACACCTCCCGCCCTCTGGTCGGGGCGGCTCCGGGCCCACCCCCAGAGCAGGCCCTCGGGGTGGGGGGTGCGGACGCCGCCAGCGCCGCAGGTGCAGCCCAGAGGCCGCGCGCCGGTGAGTCGGCCCGAGCAGCTCCAGAGAGTTGATGGGGGTCAGGGAGGTAGGAGGGCCAGGCAGGGAGGACGGGCAGTTGCTTCCCTTCCTACTTTTGCTAGCTGCCAAGAGGCCAGCAGATGCTGGAGACTGGTGAGGCAGGCAGGGGAGCCCACATCATCGCGGGCACTGTCCCCCAGACCCGGGTCTGCGGGCTCTGAGCACTGACCTGCCCCAACCTAGGAGAGTCAGGAGGCTTGCGGTGACGCTTTCTCGGGAAAGGGAGGCGAGGCTGTGAGTAGACTTTAGAGCGCCAGCTTTGGACCCAGACCGAGGCCTAGGCGTGAATCCTCTCCTGGTACCAGCTCGTGTTCTTGCGTGGTTCTGCAACTTTACTAAGCCTCGCTTTCCTCATCTATAAAATGGGAATATGCTACCTTCAGGGTCCCTGTGAGGACGAACCCAAAAGACGCTTCAAAGTGCTGAGCACTAAGTCTGTGAAGCACAGATAGATCTGCATTAATTCAGCGGAGAAGAATCTCCACTTCCGGCCTTGCCAGGTGCACTTCAGGTCATGCCTGCCCTTTCACAGACTGGGAAGATGGGCTCCTTGCCCAGGAATCGCATGGGGGCAGGGACAAGGGCAGAAGCTTGTCGTCCCGGGTGCTGCAGGCAATCCTGCGGGCGAGCCCCTACTGCTCTGGTTGGTGGCAGTCTGGACCTTTGCGGAGGAGGGGGATGGTGAACACACAGTGGCAGAGATGGTTGTAGTTTTCCTTAAGGAGGACATGCCTCACCGTCACTTCTGAACGTCATTCTTCACCCTCAGACACTTTCGCCTCATAAAACTGGGAACCTTTGTCAGAATTAACACCCAGAAACTTCCCACTCTAGAGCAGAGTTCCCATTTTGCAGATGGGAGCCCTGCGTCACAGACAGTTAATAGATACATGCCAGTTAGTGGTCGTACCTTACTGTCTTCCCCTCTCCCTTAGGTGTGTTCAGTGCTATGTGTTGCATTCTCTGTTAATGAAAGGATAAACATGGGCACGTTTGGCCAACCTGGGGAAGGGGGAAGCCAGAGTCAGGCCTTCCTATGCTTCCAGGGTGGGGCGCCCTGCAGGGCTTACTGTGGCCATCAGGGTCGATATGAGGATGAAATCGACGCCAAACAGGCAAAAGGACTCAGGAGAGCCACTCTTACCCTCTGCCCTTGGGATGGACTTCAGAGTTGGGCACAAGATCTTGGCCTTGACGGACATGGTCCTTGTGCGTCTTATGTGAAGATGCCTTTGGCTGTTACAGCGCCGGGGCCGCCGCCTCTGACACTCTCGACCCTGCTGTCTTCAAAACCTGTTCCAAATGCTGGATCCCCAGAAGCGGCCGAACCATGGGATCACCACCCCACCCCCACCCCCGAAAGCAGTGCCCCAGAGCTTTGTCAGGGAGTTTAAGTTTGAAGGTAGGGACATTCCTTGGAAGAAGCCACCACACAATGGCTGCCGTTGTGGGCCACGCTGGCTCACAGCTGTGTCCACAGGGCCAACTCTGGGCTGCGCACACAGTTGGCGCCTTGGGCGGGGGGGGGGGGGGGCACCGAGAGCCGGCCCCGCCCTTGACTTAGCGAGAAAGACAAGTGTCTCCGCACACCCGCGGCTCGCCGCAGCTGCGCGGCCTCCCTTCCCGTCCTCTCGCCCCACTAAAGCGATCTCTTCCCCAGCTTCCCCCCCGCGCCCAGCGCAGTGGTTTCCGCTTCGCAGTACCCCTGCCACCGAGATGGTCTCTCCCTGCTGCCTACCTCCACACAAGCCCCGCACACGCGCTGGGAATGCCCCTGTCTGTGGCTATCAGCGCCCGCTCCCCGGCCCCACAAAGCTCCGTGACCTGGGCGCTGTCACTTTATTCTAGAACCTGCCTCTCCACTGCCCTCCTGGAGACAGTCACCCCGCCCCCCACGTCCCCCAACCCTCCGTCCATCCCGGTCCTGGAGAGGGCCACCCAGCGGTGGCCGCAGGACTGGACCTCCACGCAGGTAGCTTAGCGTACTCGCGTGCAGGCATTAGCAGCCTCGTATCCTGATTGGGTTAAGGTGAGTAGTTGCCACACCCCGTCTTGTTGGCTCCGCCCCCTGGAGCCCTGGGGCCAAGGGACTAGTCCCGCAGTCTCGCCTCCGCCTGGGGAGCCGCAGGGCTGCGGCGCTTGGCTCTTTCTGGAGAATTTCCCGCACTTGTTAAGTTCAGTGTCCTCTTATATTGTCACCTCCTCTGGGGACCTCCGACTCTGTCCTTGACCCTGGCCCCACAGGAGGCCCATCAGGTGGATTCGAGGGGCTGAGATAGACACGAACGGATCCCACACCTGGGGGAATCTCAACCAGACGAGGCTGAGAAGCAATCAGACAGCGCCAGGGGTCCGTGTTCCGCGAAGCACAGGGTTCTGTGGAAATGAGATTGGGGAGGGCTTCTAGGCGATCTCGGCAGTTGAAGCAAAATGAATAATGAAAGAAACCACTGTTATGTTTGTTTTTTCTTTAAGATTTTATTTGTCAGAGAGAGCACAATCAGGGGGAACCGCAGGCAGAGGGAGAAGCAGACTCCCCGCTAAGCAAGGAGCCCGATGCGAGACTCGATCCCAGGACCCCAGGATCATGACCTGAACGGAAGGCAGACACTTGACTGAGCCACCCAGGCATCCCTGTTTGTTTTTTCATGTTGTCTTCACAAGAGCTCTGAGGTGGGTACTATTGTTAACTTCCGTTTACAGAATGAGTGCCCTTTCACCACGAGCAAGTGACAGCAAGGATTTGAAACCGGGCCTACCACGCCAAAGAGGGTTTTAACCTTTATATTATAAGCACATCCAGCAAAGGAAGCAATGTGAGCAAAGACGCTGGGGTGAGAAGGCAGGACAGAAGAGGCGACTACAGAAAGACGTTGTGTTTCTCGAGCGCCAAGTTCTGCATGCACAGAGTGGGGCCAGTGGGGGAGAGTGGGGCCAGTGGGGACTGGTGGGACTTGTAAGCCTTGTAAGCAAACTGTTACCAGTTGGTAAAGCATGCCACTCTTGATTGTGGGGTCGTGAGTTCAGTGAGTTCGAGCCTTACTTTGGATATAGAGATTACTTACAAAAAAGGAGAGAAAGAAGAAAGAAAGAAAGAAAGAAAGAAAGAAAGAAAGAAAGAAAGAAAGAAAGAAAGAAAGAAAGAAAGAAAGAAAGAAAGAAAGAAAGAGAGAGAGAGAGAAAGAAAGAAAAAGAAAGAATTAGAAAACAAAGTTAGTATCACTTAGTGAAGGGGTGAAGAAGGAAGATGACCCCTGGATTTCTGGGCTGAATAATTGGACAAACTGTCATTCCCTCCCTGCTGCAGGGCATGTGGGGGCAGGGCTGGTGCATGGGAAAGTGATGAGTTCTGGCTGGCTGCCCTGTGTTTGAGGTGGGGGCAGAAGCCTAACAGGCAGTGGCTCAGGGTTCCGGGGTCAAACAGACTTGGTCCAACACCTACATTCATCAACCTACTAGTTCTGTCACACTGGGCAAGAAACTTGATCTCTTTAAACCTGTTAATTCATCCATAAGATAGGAACAGTAATAGAATTTTAGGGTTGTTATAAAATGAGAATAAATGAGACAATGTACAGTGTCTGGAACATAATAAGTATTGAAAAATGGCAACGCTATTATCATTGTTATTATTTATTATCAGTAAATCTGAAGCTCAGAGAAGAAGCAATTTAAAGTCATCAAATGGAAATTGAAACCAGGAGAATAAATGAGATGACCCAAAAAGAGTGTAGATGCTTAGAAAGGTGAAAGTTGAAGACCAGGAGCCCTGACATTTCAGGGGTAGACGGAGGAAAAGCAGCCTAAAAATAAATGGTTAGAGAAGAAGGAAAACCACCAGAGCTTGGTGCCGTGGAAGCCACATGTAGGAGCCAAACCGCTGATCCCCTGTCTTCCTTCCTCCTTCCTAACAGAACCTGATGTTGTTAGGGTAAGCACCCTCTGGATTCTGTGCATCTCAGAGGAGGTAGCCCACAGCCCCAGCTCCAAACCAGTGGCTGGGTCGCCCCTGGTAATCCCATTGCACTTGCCAGTGATTGGTTTATGAAGTCTATTTGATCCTCTTCTGACCAATGGGACTTGATGGAAAATCTGTTGAGGGACTTCTGGAAAAAATTTCTTTGATTAAAAAAAAAAAAAAAAGGTGCCCATGAAGGTCAAAACCACAAGGAGATACCACTTCACACTCACTAGGATGACTAGAATCAAAAAGCCAGATAACATCACATGTTGGCCAGGATGTGGAGAACTTAGAACCCTTATACACTGCCGGTGGGACCATAAAAAGGACCAGCCACTTGGAAAACAATCTTGCAGTTCCTCAAACAATTAAACATAGGGTTACCATTATGACCCAGCAGTTCTACTCCTAGGTATATACCCAGGAAAATGAAAAAATTATGTCCCACAGAAACTTATACACAAATATTTGTAGTAGCATTATTCATAATAGCCAAAGTGTGGAAACAACTCAAATGTTCATCAACAGATGAATGGATACACACAGTGTGCTACATCCATATGGTGGAATTATTATTATTTGGCCATAATAACGAGTAAGTACTGATACAGGCTATACTGTGAATGAACTTTGAAAACATGATTTTAAGTGAAAGCAGCCAGCCACAAAAGGCCACATACTGCATAATGAAAGTCCAGAATTGGGAAATCTATGGAGAGGAAGTAGGTAGCAGTTGCTTAGGGCTGAGGTGATGGCAGGGGGTTGGGAGATGATTAAGTAAATGGTATGCATTTTCTTCTTGAGGTGATCACAATGTTCTAAAATTGATAAGGGGTGATGGTCGCACATAACTGTGAATATACTAAAAGCTATTGAATTGAACACTTTTTTTTAAAGATTTTATGTATGTATGTATGTATGTATGTATTTGAGGGAGAGAGAGAGAGGAGAGGGACAAGCAGACTCTGTGCTGAGCACAGAGCCAAATGCAGGGCTCGATCTCACGACCCTAAGATCATGACCTGAGCCAAAATCAAGAGTCAGAGGCTTAACTGACCCAGCCACCCCGCCGCCCCTGAACTGAACACTTTAAATGAGTGAGTTGTATGTTAATTATATCTCAAAAAACTATTTCAAAAGAAGCAACAAAAAAAGTGATACACAAAGAATCTATAGACTCTTCCTCTCAGTGTTGTGTCTGGATGGAATGGCTGAGTTAACCATCTTGCTTCCAGCATGAGGCTGATGTCCACACAAAGAGAGAGGCAGAAATCATAAGGATCACTGGGAAATAGCAAAGGAGCCCCATGAGCTCCAAGCTCTGGTGGTCTTGTCTTATGATGTGATGAATTGTTTAAGCCTATGTGAGTGAGAGCTTTTATCGTTGATTTGTTTGCAAACAATTAGGAACTGTAATCACCACGGGGTTAAATATAGGGAAGTAGCCAAACCACCACAGCTGCCTGCTAGCACCTACGGAGCTAGTGCGTTAGCATGGAACACTGCAGCAGAAAGCTTACCCGTTGGGGTGCCTGCGTGCCTCAGCCGGTTAAGCGGCTGCCTTCGCTCAGGTCATGATCCCAGGGTCCTAGGATCGAGCCCCGCATCGAGCCCCGCATCAGGCTCCCTGCTCAGCGGGAAGCCTGCTTCCCCCTCTGCCTCTGCCTGCCGCTCCCCCTGCTTGTGCTCTCTCTCTCTTGTCAGATAAATAAATAAAGTCTAAAAAAAAAAGAAGAAGAAGGAAAGAAAACTTACCCATCGCCTTGACCTTACTTGCCAAAAGAAAACAGCAGGAGGGAGGATGACTTTTACTTGGCTTCTACTTCCCAAATATCTCCCATCTAATGACCAACTTCTCTTCTCCTTATTCCTACTTCCATCTCAGATCTTCTCTCTAGCATCATTTTTCCTTCTGCCTAATATATATATTATATATCCTTTAGAAAATTCTGAGGGTCTGCTTGTGAAGATCTTTCAGTTTTGATTTGCCAGAAAATATCTTTGTTTTGCCCTCATTCTGAAAAACACTTTTGGATGTGGAAGGTAGACTGCCAGTTATTTTCTTCATTTTCTTTTTTTTCCCCATGTATGTATGTATGTATGTTCTTGTGGGAGGGAGGGTAGCTGGTGTCTGGGCCCTTTTACTGTTCCCTTTCCCCACAGGGTGGACCCAGTTGTGGGCTGGGGCCTGGGGCCCGGGGCCCAGAAGGTCCAGAAGGGTGACAAGGGGCCCTTCGACGTGGAGGCACTGGATGAAATCAGAATGAGATGCGTGGTCAAGTTGGAAAAGCAGGTGAGTGTGGGATGGTTTTGCTGGTGTGACAGAGCTGGTGGACTGCAAAGCTTTGGAGAGCCACGGGGACAAGCACAAGGGGAGGCTGCACTTCTCAGAGCCATGGCCCAGAGCACCCGCTGCCCGGGAGGCCTACGCAGGGCCCGGGTGTCCCCTGCTGCCTGTGCAGAGTTATTTTCTTTTAGCATAGGCATGTCCTCATCCTTGAGGGCTTACTGCCTACAGCTACCTCTGGTACCAAATCACCAGATTGCAGTATGGGAAATAGAAGCCAGCAGAAAAGGAATTTATACAGGGACTGAAAATCATCAGGTGCATTGGAAGAATGGGTTGTAGCTTGGGCCTCAAGGAAGACTCTCGAACACCCAGGAGTAACTCACTAAAGGAGTCACCATTTGTGTGACAATCAGGCAGGTGTAAAGGCTCCCTTGGAACTCAGTCAAATTTAGTTGCTGAGAAGCAGGCCACCACCCTAACTGCAGTTGTGTCTCTGTCCCCACAGCTGGGGACAGACATTGGAAAGCTGCTGCAGGAAAAACTCCATGTCTCCATAACCTTCTTTGCCCAGAGAAGACAATGCCAACTGCAGAAATATGGCCTGTCTCACATCTGCTTTCGCAATTCTTTTTTTTTTTTTTTTTTAAGATTTTATTTATTTATTAGAGAGTGAGCAAGCAAGCATGAGTGGTAGGGAGGGGCAGAGGGAGAGGGAGAAGCAGCCTCCGCAGGGAGCTCAACGACAGGGGGACTTGATCCCAGGACCCTGGGATCATGACCTGAGCCAAATGCAGACGCTTAACCCCACTTAACCGACTGAGCCACCCAGGCGCCCCTGCTTTCTCAATTCCTAAAACCTAATTTGCATAACCCAACTTCAAGGGGATCTACAAAAGGTAGCTTTTTGTTTCCCTGCCTCTTATAGTGTAGGAAGGAATTGTGGAAGTGCTCCCTGTTGTCAAATGGCATGCAGGGTAGGGGCCTGAAGTGGCCATTGGGTTTGACAACTGGAAAAGCAAGGAGGCTCTTGAGGGGGCTGTGTCGGCACAGTGGAGGTGGGCAAAGCCAGACCGTGTCAGGTTGAATGGCCAACAAGATGTGAGGAGCGAATTCGGTGAACGTGGATGGTTTAAGGAATCCTGTGCAGGGCGATGGAGAGAGGGATAGCGGATAGAGGGCACCTCAGCTTCAGAGAGAGTTTTGGTTGGTTGTTTTTCTAGGAATGGTAGAGAATCAGACATGTTTATGACGAAGGGAAGGTGCCAACTGCAGAGAACAGAGGGAGCAAGGAGATATGGAACGGATGGAGAGATTGTGGCTCATGGGAGGGGACGCTTACAATGTATGGAAAGATGCTCTTGATATTTTGCTAAGTGACAAAAGCATATAAAACAAACATTGTGTGGTTCCTTCCCTGCTTAAAAGTCTATTAGATACACTAAAAATTCTCACCAAACTCGATTCCAGGGGTGCAAGGCGCACCCCTGAGATGGAGCAGCCCAGCCAGTGGCCTGGGCGTGGGCAGACTGTGTGGGAACTAGAGGGGCAGAATAAGAGAGGGCTCGGCTGGGATGGGGGAAGCAGACCTATGCTCCTGTAGGCCATATGGCCACAGGCTGGCTTGTTCCAGAGGCCTCGTGTTCAAGTCATTGTCCCAAAGGTCCCATGGTCGCCCACCCTCCCATGCACTGAGGCGCAGCCTTCAGCAGTTCTAGAACCAGCTTCAGAGGCCTAGACGTAGCACCTTTCATCCCATCTACCCTCAATAATTGTGGAGACACCCAACTCCCCAGAGTAGTTTGGGGCACATCCTGAAAAAGCACTGATATGATTCCAGCACGGTCCCCTCACGTTTCCTGTTTCCCCGCAAATAATGACAAGATTCTCTGACCAAGGCTGACTCCTAAGTGCGTGACTTCCTCGAAAATAAGCTGACAGGGTTTAGACTAACTTAGCTTTTCACAAGCCCCATCTTATCTCTCAACATGATTATTTCTTATGCCAACCCCTCTGTATATAAATATAAAATAATAATTCATATATAATCTATCTGGTATTATTACTGTATATGCATCCCAAGTCTGGAACCATTTCTAATCATTATTGGCCCCAGGCTTGGGTTTTTGTTTTTTTTCTTGTGGGGGAGGGGGTACTTAATCATGTGAATTCAGGCTGAAGAGCTATATTGAGGGTAGGCTCATGGCTACACATTCTCAGGGGAGAACCTGTGCCCTCCCTAATCTGATTAGCATTAGATTCCAAGAAAGGAAGTTTTTCTTGAAATCCTCTGTATTATTTATATAAAATCAATTGTAATATGATAATATGTGAGCTGAGCAAAAGGTAAGGAATGCTAAGGCAGCAGAGTAGGGGCTAAGAGAGGTATGTAGAGCCTGGAAGCCAGATTTGGACTAAGGACACATGCAAAACTGAGTGCACATGAGCATGGGTTTTTGTGATCTCTCAACACTGGCAGGACAGAAGATAAATCCTGAAGCCCACTCGAGAGAGAAGCCTAACAGGAGACTCTCTCAAAGCTGGGACTCCAGAGGACTGCATTCTCAATATAAAGGGGACCTAGAAATAAACTATTCCATCCCCAGAGGATTGTAAGGAAAACTGCCTTTCTTGGATCCTGAGGCTAATCGAATCAGGGTGCAGGTGGGGGAATCTCTGTTTCTGAGATTGTAACCACGAGCCTGCCCTCATATAGATTTTTAGCCTGAATTCACATGATTAGGCACCACCTTCCCTAAAAGAAAACAAAAACAAAAACCTGGAGCCAATAATATGACCAAAATTGGTCCCAGATTTTGAGGCCCCCAGGTACCTGACAGAAGCAAGTGTAAATCCCTTTCAGTGGAATTCAGAAATTTGCCCTCATCCCTGGCCTCAAATAATTCCCACAGGTTATGTCCAAGGAATAAATAAAATAAAATAATTTGGTAAACATAGAAGTAAACAGGGCATGATGAGTGAGAACCAGCAGAAATAAGACAGCAGATTCAGGCCTAAAAAGCTTTAGATGTTGGAATTATCAGATATGGTATATCAAAGAAGTATGCTTAATGTAATATAAAAATAAAAGAGGCTTAGGGGCACCTGGGTGGCTCAGTCACTGAGCGCCTGCCTTCAGCTCAGATCATGATTCCTGGGTCCTGGGATCGAGCCCTGCATCAGGCTCCCTGCTCTGCAGGAAGCCTGCTTCTCCCTCTCCCACTCCCCCCTGCTTGTGTTCCCTCTCTCGCTGTCTCTCTCTGTCAAATAAATAAATAAAATCTTTAAAAAAATTAAAAAAAAAATAAAAAGGCTTGAAAATATGACAAAAGAGCAACAAATTTGTGGAAAAAATCAAACAACTCATAGGAAAGAAAAATATAAAATTGAAATGTAAAACTCAATAGGTTTTTTTAAAAAAATTATTTATTTATTTGAGAGAAGAGAAAGCGTGCATGAGTTGCGGGGAGGAGACAAGGGGGAGGGAGAAGCAGGCTCCCGGCTGAGTAGGGAGCCTGATGCAGGACTCAATCCCAGGACCCTGAGATCGTGACCTGAGCTGAAGGCAGATGCTTAACCGACTGCGCCACCCTGGTGTCCCTCAATAGACAGGTTTAACAGCTGGCTAACTACAGCTGAAAGGACGATTAGGGATGTGGAAGATAGAACAGAAGAAATTAGTTGAAAACAGCTCAGACAGACAAAGACATAGAAAATATAAAGTAGAAGTTAAAATGACACGGAAGACAGACCAACAAGGTCTACCATACATTTAATCATACTTCCAGAGGGAGAATAAATAAAAAAGAGAGAAGAGGTAATATTTGAAAAAAAAAAACAGTGGAAGATTACTTTCTATAGATGGAAAAGGACCCTTATCTATATAGTCAGGAAGCCAAAAAGTTTCCAATTATGCTAAAAAGAAATGGACACCCCGAATCATAACATGGTGAAAGCAGAGAACACAATGTATTGAATATTAGAGTACTGGCCCCCACCGGCAGCCCTGAGGTGCCCCGTCCCCAGATGAATTGCTGTCGAAGAGCGATGCCAAGAAGACTGAGTTGGAGCTGGAGGAGGAAGATGACGAGGAGCTAGATGAGACCCGGTTGGAGAGACTGTGGGGACTAACAGAGAGGGTCCCGTCTGGGGCTGGGGCCGCTTTTGATCTTCTCCGTCTTTGTGGCTCAAAGACCACAGAGATTTCCCAGGGCAGCCTTGTGGATTGGGACCACCTCCCTCATGATCCCCGTTCTCCCTGTTGTCCTTGAGACTGAGAAGTTGCAAATGGAGCGGCAGCTCCGGCGACAGCAGATACTTCGTAGTGCCTGACGGAGGCTTCTCAGGAGGCGTGCCAGGGGCTCTACCTTCAGTTCCGGGAAAGATCTGGATTGTTACTCTACGACTTGTCTTGGTGGGACAAGTTTGAAAATTCAGCAGTGTTGGAGCTGATTATTTGGATTCTTTTTTTTTTTTTTTTTTTTTTAACTTTGGCACATTGATCTATGGGCACCTGCTGTGGAGAACTCTCCCCAGTGTCTCACGGAGACCCCCAATTGCAGCTGTGCCCTCCACGCTGTCCCATTTCTGCCGTCCTCACTCTGATAGCAGAGCGCAGCGATGCCGACGGTCCCTCCAGCTCTGGCCATCCCACCCTTTCACTAAGTAACTCGTGACGGGAAGGTCGCCTCACCATCCCATTGTGGCATAGGAACTGATACCCCTGGGAAGGATGCACCCCCGGCCATTTTTGTTTTAAGCATGGAGATGGCGGGAAGGGACACGCGCACAATGCTTTACAGCTGTGGTTGTAAAGCAGCCGCTGTGATTTCTGTATTGGCTAGGAGGGAGGGCTGCGGGCAGTCTTAACCCCAGGGTGGGGACTGAGGACGACAGAGCAGGAGCTCATTTTCCCTGCCCATTTTGGCTATCAGAGACGTGTGTGTCTGAAACAAAAAAGTGCTCGATTTTATTTTATTTTATTTTATTTATTTATTTATTTTTTA